AGCTAGGTACAAATATTTCGGATCCTTAACAGCTATGTTGTGCCCATGTATGGAATCGTTTTACAGTACCAGGTCCATCCTCTGTTAGTGACTGACAGGATGACATAAGAAAATGAGCTCCGAATTCAAAAACTCCAGGAAGAGGGAGACGGGATCCAGAGCTTATAAAATATCTGCTGACATGGAAATAAAAGTCAGATGAATTCTGGTAAACTTCTTAGATCCCAATAAAAGGAAGTTGCATTTTAAAAAGATCTTGAAAACATCACGTAGTGGACATAACATAGGAGTTATTCCCTGCTAAAAAACTTGCTAAAAACTCTTAAAGAATATTGCTATGTGGGTTTTAGTGTCCAAGAGTTCACTAAACTCACCACGTTACAAACACCACCGTTGTCACCACAGTGACAACATCATTCTCAGTTAAAGGAACAGTACGTAGTAAAGTACCGTTAGTGATATTAAAGCTGTTTTATTTAATGTAATTGGTAAATGGTAAATGGACTGTATTTCTAAAGCGCTTTATCCAGTCTTTCACCCCTCAAAGCGCTTTACATACAAGTCACCCATTCACACCCAATTCATACAGAGCAATGTGCCCCTTGCTCAATGAAGGGGTTAGAGCCATTTCCCTTTCATCATTATGGTTTGAATGTTTGTCTTATTACTAAAAGGCTTTAGAGGAAACTCTTAACTATTTATTTTTGTGAGTCACACTACGCTTTAAAAGATGTTAGTTTAGGCCTCACTTATTTGCTGTCAGATGTGCGCTGTCAGACAGTTGGCGCCAGCGGGAAACAAACCGGAAATGCTATTAGTTGATAATGCAAGATATGTTATTGTTATTAAGAGCAAGACAGAGAGAGAGAGACAGAGAGAGACAGAGAGGGACAGAGAGAGAGAGACAGAGAGAGACAGAGAGAGACAGAGAGAGACAGAGAGGGACAGAGAGGGACAGAGAGGGACAGAGAGGGACAGAGAGGGACAGAGAGGGACAGAGAGGGACAGAGAGGGACAGAGAGGGACAGATGTGCATGTCTATTTGTCTATATATGGCATGACATTAGGACACAGCTGAGGGTGTGATTAAACAGGAAGTGGTAGAGTCTTTTGACCGTGTTCTTTTTGTTCTTTTTGTTCTTTTTTGATACGGAGAACTTTTAGTTATTTGAAGCGAGGAAGTTTGTCTTCATGTTTGTATGTCGCCATGATCAATGAATAAACCTGATGTGATTCAACGCTACAACGATCTCTGCAAAGTTAGTTAGGAAGCAAAGAGAGGCGCGTCATAACCCACAACCCCGATAGAGGAAAGTGGATATTAAATGTAGAAACGGATTCAAACTCCACGACAGAAGGTATCATTCACACACCGTTCCCCATTGGGAGAGACTTGGGGTTAAGCATCTTGCCCAAGGATACATCGATTTCAATTGAAAGACGCCCTCACTACCTTTCATTAACAGTCGTAAACAGTGTGTGTTCTCTGCATCCTCACCTGGAAAGTGGAGCAGCAGCATCAGGAATGAAGACATCATGATCCTTCTGAATTCAGACATCGTGCTTCTCTCTCGGTCTCTGGCTCTCGACTGTCAGAGTCTCTCACCTGCTGCTTCTTTAACAAGAACTCAGTACCGAGGATAACAGCAGATAAGCGACAGAAGAGGGGAAGTTGAACGTGGGAAGATGTTTTCTGGTTCCTCATTTCACCTCCAGTGTTTTTCTTGAGAACTGAACGAGAAGTGTTTTGATGAAAATGAGGTTAACACCAGCAGCTCTGAAGGTATGACACCATATAGAAAACCTCAGGCACGTATTCAGTTGGGCAACAGAGGAATAATTCAGGCCGATACGAGACGGATCAGTTTGAGCTAATATCCAGTCACTGTGGATGACTGAGCCAAACTTACATTGAGACACAATCTGGATGTTTATTTTAAGATTACAGCATTTCCAGGCCCTGTGTGGCTCAACACCAAGTGCAGTATGTGGAAACGATTTGCCACTGTTTCAATCTTTGATGAATCTGTTTATCTTATTGAAAAATACATCATGCACTTGTCACCCTAGAGCGGCGGTGTCAAACTAAAGGCCTGGGGGCCAAATCCGGCCCGCGACAATATTTGATGTGTCCCCGCAAGAGCTTGCAAATAATATAATATGTTTATTATATGGTTGAATGCCGCTTTACAGAAGCCATACCGTGGACCAGATTATTCATCTGGCCCACGCAGCGGTCCGAGTAATCACTCCCGTCCTCAGGCAGGGGGGCGGGAGTGTCCTGCTGAGGGGTAATCAGCGACACTCCCAACACACCTAGATTACTGGCCGCCGCCGCCATCTGCGCCCCGAGCCTGAATATCTTATCCAGATACTCAAGCATCTCGCGGTCACGCGACAGCGGGGGCAGAGGCCTTCTCCCCTCTGCCCACCCGGCTGCCTGCGGAAGCAGATGGGCCGCTAGGCTATCATCCAGTGGGGGCACACTGGGACACTCCGTGTCCGAGTGGCCCTGCACTCTGAGGATTCCAGCCCATGTCGCCAGCGGAGCCTTCGTTCTCAGTGGCTGTCGCCACGTGGCCTCCACACCGCCAGATGTCTGTCAGGGGGGGTGAAACGAAGGCCGGCTGCGCTGGACGGGCCGGGCCGTGGGAAGCCCTGACGTAGGCGGCTCACCGGCCTCGGTGGCAGCGGTGGGGGGAGCGGCAAGCCTGCAGGCTCCGCCGCCATAGTCATTACTGCCGGGAAGTCCTGTCGCGCAGACCTGTGCTGTTGGCCTTCCTGGCGGTCGCCGGAAACATCAGACGATGAGGTGTCGCCATCGTCGTCCCTCTCCCCGACGAGCGGACCCGCCCGGTCCGCTGGAATGGTGAACACGAAGGGCAGTCCTTCCTTGAGGTCCTCCATCTCCACCACGTCGAGCTCTGGGTCCTCCACCAGCGAGACGTAGCAACCCTTAAACTGCGCCAGCCATTGATGGCGGCCGGGGCGAGGAATCAGCCGGCAGGCGCTGCAGACCGCAAGCGGGCCCAGGTTGGCCGCCGCGTGGTCGGACCCCAGGCACTCAATGCACTGACAGTGGGGGTCGGCGCCTTTAATGGCGCCCGGACACGAAGGACAGGGGCCCTCCAATCGTGAGTCCATTTTCTTCGTTTGTTTTATATTTTTGTATCCGTCTCTCTTCACTCAGTTGTGTCTCACTGCCTTGCTGAAGAGAAAGGGATGACAGTAAAGAGGCGAGGCCTCCTTTTATGCGGTGAGATGCGCACGCATTCAGGTAGGCCCGCCCCGGGGCCGGCTACGTCTAGAAAGTCTCAGTGGATGAATGCTTGCATGATAGGATCAAGGGGAAGTACCCATAGAGTCCAGTAGAGGGCCTGTGAGAGATATAACTCATCTTTTGGTGCACTGGGGCTTAGTTTATTTGCAGACAAACATGAAATATCACTACATTTTCACTCCATCTCTTCACCTTTTGTCCTTTAAATATATGTTCTCCTTCCCTCTTTCATTTCTCCATGCTTTCACTACTTCCATTTTCACTTCCCATTCTAACTCTAATCTGAAAACATGACAATCCACCAAAAAACAAGATATTTGCACCACAAAAAAGCAGGACTATTTTTCACATTAAGATATTTGAATGCAAATCTATTAATTGTAACATTTGTTTAACTTTTCTTTCCTAAAGTTTCGATTGCATGACTTAATTTGATTATGATTTGATTTTCTAAATGTGCTTGCTTCTTGGAAAGTATATCGTGCAAAAAAGATGCTTTGTTTTACAGTAAAGTAAACTCTCATTGCACAAGCTCCCTCTGCTGCAGCACTTTCAGAAGCACACAGTTCACTAACTCAACCTATACTCACATTATTCACACATGAGAGAGTGTTTGTGTTTGTGTCTGCAGAGATCTGCTTCTTAACACTTGATTAGATTTCACATCATTCATCCAGATCAGTAAAGCAACTAAAGGTTTAAAAGTATTTACTCAAGTACAGTACTTAAGTACACATTTGAGGTACTTGTACTATACTTGAGTATTTCCCTTAATGCTACTTTGTACTTCTACTCCTCTACAATTCAGAGGTAAATGGTATTTAATACCTTTAGTTACTTTACAGATCTGGATGAATGATGTGAAATATAATCAAGTGTTAAATCAGACTTTAGTTCCACCTGGAGTAAATCCACAAGCTACCCTGCAGTATACAAAGTCATTCAAACTATCAGCACCTTTACCAGCTTTGAGAACACTTTCATGATCAATCATTATAAAACATATCATATATATTATTCTGAAATGGACCAATCTGCACAATGACTACTTTTACTGTTGCTACTTTAACTATATTTTGATGATAATACTTTTCTACTTTTACTTGAGTAACATTTTGAATGCAGCACCTTTACTGAAACAGAGTATTCCTACACTCTGGTACTTCTACTTGTACTCAAGTACATGAACTGAGTACTTCTACTTTTACTCAAGTACACGATCTGAGTACTTTGCAGTCTTGAAAGGGAAACCCATGTAGTTCATTTATAAAAACGTGTTTTCTCACCAGGCATCTCTTCCTGGTTCAGTCTCTGAGGAGAAGATAACAAACACAAACATTTATAAACACAATAATTTAACAGAATGAAATCAAGGGAGAAAATGTGTCTATTTTTCTACGCCAGGACAGAAAGTAAAAGTTACCTCAGAGAGCTGGGATGTAGCTCCGATGAATGAAGGAGATTTAACAGTTTACAGCCTCACACTGAATATTTAAAACCTTTCTCAGATCCTTTCTTCTGAAACAGACTGATAATTGTTAGCTCATCTCTCTGGTAGCTCATCTCTTTGCTCAAATCTTCCCGTCTGTGAAGCACTTTCACTTTAACAGGAAGCGAGTCATCACACACTGGGAGAACTGGTTTGACTTTAACCAGTTAGACCAGAGCCTGGTCAATGAAACATGTTCATCCACAATGAGACACATGTACACAGACACTGTGATTGATTGATTTGTATTTATTATGTTGTTTTAATGAGCACAAAGCAGCAGCAGCAGCAGGGTTTTACAGATAGTTTAGGATATGTTAAACTTGATAAGATTTGATCACACACTTCTCTACTGCACACATTTAAACATTATGTAACCAATCTGTATATCTCAAAAGCACACTGAATTAACATTCTCATTTAACACTTTTGTACCCATTCACCTACATTAAAATCTCTGTTTAAAAGATTTCTTCAGTGCCAATTTTGACAGGAGGAACTTTATCAATAATACTGTAGAGTCGACTTTAAAGACTTTTCAACGAATGGCAGGTTTGTCTTATAAGTTTAACTTGAATTTTATTTGAATTTGTAAGTGCCATTTACTTAAAGCAGGTTTGTTATTCTTCCATCTATTCTTCTCTAATGCACCTTAGATAAAACATCAGTGATCCAAAGCTTCAGCTCAAAAGCATCTATGTTAATAGTTTAATAGCATCCTTCATTTCCTGTTGTATGCACATGCATTGCACATGCACTTTTGTCCCTTCAAAATGCATTTATTGGAATAATAAACCCCTGAGGTCTTCTTACTTCTGTGTATAGCGCACTACCAAGTACAGAATTATTATGGCACTAGCAGACGCACTAAATCCAAAAACAATCAGCGTTGAGTGTTTCTTCCACACTGAAAGAAAGACAAAGATCAATCAGTCATCTCATATCAACAGCATGCACAACATGATTTAGATCACATGGGTTTTTTCTTTTTACAAAGGAAATAAAATACACTTCGTTACAATCTGTTTTTTTACAGCTTTGGCCATTTGTCCATTTAGTCATTTTCAATATATATATATATATATTTTTTTTAAAGCCTGGTTGGCATCTTGCTAGGAGTCAAATGATCGTGCTTTTCCGATACAAAAGATGGCCACCACCAGCGTTGCCAGAAGGGAAAAGTAAAACTATAGTACCTCAATCTTAAAATATCATATAATGAAGAATATGAGTCATTTCAAGAACGAATAGAAGTTAACGTGCCATTTCATAAAACCCACAGGTATTAACTATATGTTAGTAGTTATATTTTTATTTTATTTCACTGTACAATATTTAACCTTACAATCTCTTCTTTCACCTGCACTATTTTATTCAAATGTATCGTACTCTGTTACATTTGCACTATTTTTTTATTTTATTTATTTATTTATTTTTGTCTTATATTTTTTTTGTCTCTATATATAATATGTTGCATTGTTGGAGGACCCTAAGCTTTGCATTGCCATAACTACACTGTAGCTGCTGTGCATAATAAAACCCTTGAATCTTGAATCTATACGACGTGTTGCAGCCATTACACTCATATTGGAGTTATGCATAGAAATCTATCATGGCTTCCGGTTGAGAAACGTCTGCAATCTGGTGTTATCACTTTTCTCAGAAATGTCCAATTTGGCAAAAAACCACTGTATTTTTATGATCAAATAGTTTACACAAGAGACGAGCATGACCATAACGGCCCGTCCACACAGCGGCGTGCGTTGTCGCTTGCCGGCGGGCATGTCTGAAGCTAGACCAACAACCAATCACCTGAATCTCCCGCCCCGGACACACAAGCAGCGGTTTGATTGGCTAGAGCAGGGGTGGGCAATTATTTTTTCCATGGGGCCACATGAGAAACTGAAAATATTGTGGAGGGCCGGGCCAAAAGGCTGAACTCAATTCTGCATAATATTAATTGTATTTCTTTATAAAAAGCAGTAAATAGCATTGTTTTGACAAGCTGGTAAGAGTATATGTTATAGTTAAGCAATGAAAAAGTGAGGTTGCCTTACAAAAAAATGTCATTTATTAAATCAAATTTCCCAAAACAATGGTAAACAAAATGAACGTTTTTCACCATTTGTGACTCATATTAGTGAACATTTTCAGTCACATTCACTCAAACACATTTTGAGTTTCATTTACTGTTGGAAAGAGGTTCTTAGCATTCTAAAGACATCACAATATTGTCTTTGTACTCCAAATATTAAGCAAGATACATCATATTGAACTGTCACTAAACATCACTGAACTGTGATTTTGAGAAAAAGGCTTCCAAAGAAAGTGTCCCAGTTCACTGCTAGTTGGTGCCTTTACATGCCAACATTTGTAGTCTAACCACCTCATTTGGTGTTTTTAAGTTCTCTTTTCTTGTTCAGTGAGAGAAATCTAGTCTCTGCTGGGCTTTAACGAGTGCATCAAAGTCAGGTTGAATGTCTGAGGTGGAGATGCGAAGCACAGCTGACAGATGATCATCAGTGAGAGAGGATCTATACCTGGATTTCGTAAACTTCATAATTGAAAATGTTTGTTCACATATGTATGCGTGTCCATGCACTCGTTTACCTCCGTGAACAGATCGCTCCCTGTCGTCGTCCCTTTCATCGACCGCATTGCTGCCAGCTCCTCCGTAATCTTGAAGTCCGGTGTTATCCCGCGGACGAATACGAGTAACTGGGCTGTGTCGCGGACATCACAGCTCTCGTCCAAAGCCAAGGAGAAAAAGTCGTAACTTGCCACTTCACGTTGCAGCTGAAGCTCCAGATTCCCCGCAATGTCCTCGATCCTTCTAGTCACGGTTCGCCTGGACAGCGGGACTTGCTCAAATGCGGCTTTTTTTTCAGGGCATATTAGTGCTGCAGAGTCCACCAAGCACTCTTTGACAAACTCCCCCTCCGAGAACGGCTTACTGTTTTTAGCAATTTTGTGGGATATCACAAAGCTGGTCATGGTTGCTGCATCACTGGATGTGTGAAGCTTGGTAAAAAAGCCTTGCTGCTTTTGCAGCTTAGCTAGCAAAGCTTCCGATGTCCGCGCCCTTTCAGCGTCAGTCAAGTTTTTATATTTCTCCGCGTGTTTCGTCTCGTAATGTCGACTCACATTGTACTCCTTAAACACGGCGATCTGCTCCCCGCAAACTAAACACACGGTTTTACCTCCGACTTCAGTAAATAAATACTTAGCAGTCCAATTTTTGTTGAAAACCCTGCATTCAGCATCTACCTTTCTTTTTTTAGCGGACATTTTTTTGAGGGCTAAAGTCGTCTTGTGACAAGGATCCAATAATGTGCACGTCTTGATATACGTATTGCGTCATTATGCACGTGAATAAAAAACAACTTCAAAATAAAAGCAATGCAGCTTTAGTCCATGCATGAGGTAAAGTTAGAAAATATGTTTATTTTGTAATTTCCAATTAGCCTTACACGGGCCGGTCAGAGTCAACCAAAGGGCCGTATGTGGCCCGGGGGCCGTACGATGCCCAGGTCTGGGCTAGAGCTTGTACTGGCATATGATTCGATTGGCTGACGCTTCCGTCGAAGCTTCAAAAGTTGAACATTGCTCAACTTTTGCCGCGAGCAATGCGAGCAACGCGAGCAAATCTACGCTTCGCTCCCACAATGCACAATGCAGTTCGGCGAAGCGTGACGTCACCCAGGACTTATGTCTTGAATGTTGTTGTGTTGAGTATTATTGTTGTATTGTTTTAAGTGTAGGACCCCAGGAAGAGTAGCTTTTGTCAAGAGCAAAAGCTAATGGGGAAATAACCATAAACATAAACATATGTTATTTGTTATATTTTGAAAACTAGGTGGCGTAATGGGGCAACATCATATAATTGATGTCCAGAGATGGGGTCGTTACTAAAAAAAAGTAATATATTACATATTACATATTACTTTAAAAAAAAGTAATATATTACACTACTTCGTTACTCTCTACATAAAGTAACTCGTTACTTTACTCGTTACTTTACTCGTTACTTTACTCGTTACTTTACTCGTTACTTTACTCGTTACTTTACTCGTTACTTTACTCGTTACTTTACTCGTTACTTTACTCGCAGGGCCGGCCCGCCCCTCCCTACAGGCAGATCACGCAGACTGCTAAAGTTTCAAATGTTCTCTTTAGTTCAGTTTCCATTGTCGCATAAGACTGATCCAGATAGCTCTGACTATGGCTGTCCTCTGTCTCCTGCTATCTGTATTTTGCGCAGTATATCTCTGAACGATGCGATGGTGATTCCACTGTGCAAATGGGCAACATTACCTCTACTATGAAGGATGCTACAAGCCTGTCCATCTCTGCTTTGGTTACCGGTCCTCCAAATTCTAATTTGTGCCGCTTCAGAGTCGGCGGCGGCGACTCACAACATCCTCACTCTGGGTTCGGGGGTCCTTAGCTATTAGCTTCACCTTAGCATGTGTTCTTTGCAGGTGTTTGTTGAGGTTTGACGTGGTGTTTGCAGCAGTGGATAACAGCTTCTGGCCTGGACACAGTTTGCACCTCACCGTCACATTCCTGTCTATTCTTCGGACGAACTCAAAATAATGGGCATACCTCCACCCCTCGAAAGTTATCGCTGACTCTGCCATGTTTATGCAGCACTGCAGGAGATGTGGACGCGCAAGTCGCGCAGATTACGTACATATAAACCTGCGGCGGAAACCCCTCTTGTCTGTCAGTGTGATTATGACTGATTTTATAAAAGTAACGAAGTAACGCGTGTCGGGGCAATGTTAGTAACTGTAGTGTGATTACTGAATTATAAAAGTAACGCGTTACACTACTCCGTTACCGACAAAAGTAATATTATTACAGTAACGCGTTACACCCAACTCTGTTGATGTCCCTGGTTCATGTGGGTGATCTGGGATTGGGAAGAGCAAACAGTTTTTTGACCGTGTTTGTTGGAAAATAAATGGTATTGAAAGCAATGGAGATCACACGCGTCCAACTAGTTTACCCAGTTTAGCCATTCCCTCTGTGATATTGATACCACACTACGTTTCAACACACCTACCCACATTGTTGTTTGTTGGGGTTCATGAATCTAGCTATTTATTTACCATATTTTATAGGAAAACATCTCTGAAACTCTGAAAAAGTCATAATGCTAGCTTACCATAAAAGGCCAATTTGACCGTTTGGTTGAGCATATTTTCAAAAAAATAATTACACCCTTGTTAAAACTTTTTTTGTGCATCAAGTTATCTAATTATGTTCAGTCAGTGCTCTGACGCAAAAATATGTCAAATGATATGGTTACCTTACAAGAGTTGACGAAAAAGAGTGATTTCTTCAGCAGTGATTTTTAGCATGCCAACTTTCTCAGTGGAAGCTAGCTGAAGGGCATTCTGTTCGAACCACAGTGACATCTAGAGGTGGTTTTGTGCATAACATGCCAACCAAATGCGCTGTATGAATCAGATGGAGTAAAACTATTTAATTTTTTTTTCAACAAGATATCAAGACACAAAATGTGCTCTACCAAATGGTGGTGCTGGCTGTTAAAGGGTTCAAATGAATCTGCCCAAAATATCTTTTAAATATGCATTATTTTATTGTATCAAGTATGTTCTCTGGTAACAGAAAATAGCATTGTTTTAAAAATGCTTCACTCTCTGTTCCTACTTACTATGTTTTCATATCAAAGGGGAAATTCACTCTAAATATCTGGTAGTTGTGTTAATGTTCCTGAAACTCATCTTTCGGTGCACTGGGGCTTAGTTTATTTGCAGACAAACATGAAATATCACTACATTTTCACTCCATCTCTTCACCTTTTGTCCTTTAAATATATTTTCTCCTTCCCTCTTTCATTTCTCCATGCTTTCACTACTTCCATTTTCACTTCCCATTCTAACTCTAATCTGAAAACATGACAATCCACCAAAAAACGAGATATTTGCACCACAAAAAAAGCAGGACTATTTTTCACATTAAGATATTTGAATGCAAATCTATTAATTTGAACATTTGTTTAACTTTTTTTTCCTAAAGTTTCGATTGCATAATTTAATAATCATTTGCTATTCTAAATGTGCTTGCTTCTTGGAAAGTATATTGTGCAAAAACTATGCTTTGTTTTACAGTAAAGTAAACTCTCATTGCACAAGCTCCCTCTGCTGCAGCACTTTCAGAAGCACACAGTTCACTAACTCAACCTATACTCACATTATTCACACATGAGAGAGTGTTTGTGTTTGTGTCTGCAGAGATCTGCTTCTCAGTGTGAGAGGACAGTAGTGACCTCCACATGTTGGGAGGATCTCTGCTGCTTCCTACTGGTGAGAAAATAAAAGTGTTTGAAACTAAAGACAGCTGAACAAGAACACCTTTTAAAGAGTTTATTTTCACCTGAGAACATTTTTTATTTCCAACACAAAACTCCAAACAAAGCAAAACATATTTCACTTAAAAGGTGTTACAAGGAAATACATCTGCAGTCTGGTAAGGCTATTAGGTGACTTCATTTGGTATAATACAACACAATCAAATATACTAAAGAAAATGCAATATTCCATTAAATGATATAACTAAACAACGGTTAATTAAACCAAGCAAGAATTAATTTTAAAAAAATCATTTAGCCCATGCTCTAATTATTAAGAATACAGTAAATCTCCAACATGTCTGAACCTTTTTCACAATCCACCTCTAGAGGGACTCACATGTTTTCATAAAGCTGCTGCTGTACTCTCACTTTGATGCATTTAAGCCAAAAAAAGCAAAAACAAGGTTAATATAAATCTGATTAAACTCTGCTAGCTGTGCCCTTAAACTCTAAATCTTTGATCCAAGCGATCTTGCTATTGATTTAAACATTACATCGGTTTCTTTCTTGGTTTGTTGACGGTGGCGTAGAGGAGGCTGGGATCAGCGGAGGCAGCAGAGGAAGAGGAGGGAGCTCCCACAGTGCTGTAGGTCACTGCATCATCTTCATCATCATCATGAAGGTGAGCCTGCAGGGGAAGAAAAGTGATTATGCATAAAGGAGTTCTGAAAGTCTTGATTGTATAGAAGTCTGTGAGAAAATGACCCTACGTCTCACTTGATTTATATCCTCAATAAACATTTCTCTGCAGATTTTATGTTCTCAATCTCAGTTTCCAAGTCTTCTTTAATACAGCATGATGTTCGGTGAGTTATGCTCACATTTAGAGTAGAATAGACGATAAAGTCACATCACCAGTGTAATCAATGAGACAGCTCACCCTGGCTTTCCTGCTGCTCTTCCTGGTGTAGCCGATGGAGGCGTAGGAAACACCATCTTCAGGGTCAGCCTACACAAATAAAATGCATAATGATAGTTATTATTAATGTCACCTTGAAAAACAAAAAATACCTGCTAAGTATGAAGCACAGGCCAATAAAAAATACTTCCATTAATTCACTTTTTGACGTTGCTGTTGCACAACTCTACTTTCTTTAAAACAAATTCATAACTGTTTGTTGCTTTTTTTATGAAGTTTGAGTTTAACTACAGTACATGAATAGTAAATAACAAAAACCTTAAACCCTGCTACATTTATGAAATCACTATTTTATAAATGTTACATTTTTCAGTTTTAAAACATTTTATTTATATATGTTTTATCTCACCACGTTGTCATCCGTCTGCGTTTCATTCCCTTCAAAAGAATACAAAAGAAATGAGACTTGGGTTAAAATCCATGTTCATCAAAAGCTTCTTGTTTGTAAAGTATAATGTGTGAATGTCCTCACCTTGAGTCCTCTTCCGTCTGATGACAGCCACAGTGATTATTGTGAGTGCTGCAACACCCACGATCCCAACGATGATCCACCTCCACCGACCTGGAAGAGAGAAGTTACAAGAGTTACATATACTCAGAGATTTTTATCTCTTTGTCCTTAAAATCTGAATCAACAACATGTATTTTCTAAATGTAAATGTTTTTGTTTTGTCATTACCTGAGGCCTGTACTACGAAGCAGGATTTTCGCTTAGCGGGCTAACTTCAGGGAAAACTCGGGGTTTCCGGTCCTACGAGCGTTAAGAAAGCTTACTTAAATATCTGCCACAACATAAGTAACCGGATCAAAGTAACATTACGTACAGTCCGCGGCACTGTGATTGCAGACGTCGATGTGTCCCATTATCATTCATATCACATCATATCACATCATAATGTATCATATATTTCCTTATTTGAGTCAGCTTCTTGAGCCGTATCTGGCCGTGCAACACTCAGTGTCACATACTGTATGCAGAAGTATTATTTTAAGCAACACATTAAGTTGACGAAACACTCGAGTCAAATGTAATTAAAGTCAGATCGTGTCTTAGACGGGGCAGTGATTTCATAAACCTGTTAATGTACGCATTCAAACACTTTTTCTTTTACCAGCTGTATTCACCTTGCAGGTGCAGCTATGTGGCTTTTTTCCTGGATAAAGTGTTTAAGTCATGGATGTTTAAAGTTTAACTTCTTCATATGTCTAATATTATAGTTGACTTTTCATTCAGGAAGTATGACGCGCTGCACTGTCAGTACGCTTGTCCATGTTTGTGATTGGTGGAATGCTCCAAATACCACCCCTTTCATGTGAACGCGCTGGATTGTTACCGACTTGTCTTGTTTTTTCAGATGTAGTTTTCACTTTTGTCGAAGTTGGTTTAATAGGTGTGGTTGATATTGTAGTCACCTTCCCTGCACCTTAATGAATAAAATAACAAAATGCTGTTCAGTTATAAAAACTAATGTAAGCATCTCACATCACGACATAAATATGTGACACATCAGGATGAATGATTTTAAACAGCTCATTTTCAGGACTGAAGAGAAACAGCTGTGATTCTGTCCTGTAACCATCAAACTCTTTACAAGTAAATAACTTGAACCTTACCTGAGTTTATGTTGTTTTTAGCTGGTGTTGTTGTTTTTGTTGTTGTTGTTGTTGCCGTTGCTGTTGTTGTTGGTTGTGGTGGTGTTGTTGTTGGTGGTGTTGTTGTTGGTGTTGGTGTTAGTGGTGGTGGTGTTGTTGGTTGTGGTGGTGTTGTTGTTGTTGTTGGTGGTGGTGGTGGTGGTGGTGTTGTTGGTGGTGGTGTTGTTGGTGGTGTTGTTGTTGGTTGTGGTGGTGTTGTTGGTGGTGGTGGTGTTGTTGGTTGTGGTGGTGTTGTTGTTGGTGGTGTTGTTGGTTGTGGTGGTGTTGGTGTTGGTGGTGGTGGTGGTGTTGTTGGTGGTGGTGGTGTTGTTGTTGTTGGTGTTGTTGTTGGTTGTGGTGGTGTTGGTGGTGGTGGTGGTGTTGTTGGTTGTGGTGGTGTTGGTGGTGGTGGTGTTGTTGGTTGTTGGTGGTGGTGGTGTTGTTGTTGTTGCTGTTGTTGTTGGTTGTGGTGGTGTTGTTGGTTGTGGTGCTGTTGTTGTTTGTGTTGGTGTTGCTGGTTTTTTGTCCTCACCTAAACAGATGAACAAAACTTAACAAACTATTCAATTTTAAACGTCCATAAAATAAACAAATATTGAAGTATTTTTTTTTAAACCAGTAAGAAGTGACTTTAAACAGATCATCATGTTCTCACCTGAGGTCTGAGGACTGAAGGTCTGCATGTTGGAACCATCTCTTACTTCACAATTAAACAACTCAGACCTTGTTGTGTTACTAAAATGAGAAGTCTGAAATATCACAGAGGCAGAGCAGGAAGACTGTGATGTCTTTATCTCTCTGTGATCTTTATCCACATCTTGATCTTGAAGCAGCCACTTCACTGTGTGTCTACACCATCTATATGTCGACACAGAGCAGCGTAACGTCACCTCATCATTGTCCTGATGTTCAGTCACTGAAGATGGAGATATTGTGAGAGAAAAGACAACCACAATATGTAACAACATGTAAATGTACTTCATCACTGTAATCATCATCATTATTGGAATGTTTCAGTATTGAGACAGTTTGAAAACATGATGATGTAAATACTCACTGGTAACAACAGACAGATCAACCTGAGAGTCTTGATATTGTTGTTGTCCTGATCTGATCTGTCTGCAGGTGTAATAACCAGCATCCTCCTCTGTGACCTTCTTTATAACCAGAGAACATTTCTCTGTAACTCTCAGTCTGTCTGATTTAGCTTTGGCTTCGTTGTGAATCTTCCCGCCTTCAAACAGCGTCACTGAGCTTCTTGAATCCCTGAAGTACCAGGTAGTATACTCACACGTATCCTGATCATCTATCACATTGTCAAAAGGCAAAGTGACTTCATCTCCAGCTCTGACAATACGGGAGTATTGTTTCACAGCTGCAGCTGTTGGTGGAAAAAGCAGAAAGAAATATAGATGTCATAAATGCTGACAGAATAATGATGTATTATATAAAAAGGTAAAGAGTTAGAGTTCTGGTTGATCTGTTTAATGAATCATTTAACGACACATTCAAACCAGAGTTAATTACAGATCCACATAACTAACTGAAGTGTTCATAGTGAGTGTGACGATCACTTTAAAGAATATTGCTATGTGGGTTTTAGTGACCAAGAGTTCACTAAAGTCACCACGTTACAAACACAACTCATCATTCTCAGTTAAAGGAACAGTACGTAGTAAAGTACCGCTAGTGATATTAAAGCTGTTTTATTTAATGTAATTGGTAAATGGTAAATGGACTGTATTTATAAAGCGCTTTATCCAGTCTTTCCCCCCCTCAAAGCGCTTTACATACAACAAGTCCCCCATTCACACCCAATGCATACAGAGCAATGTGCCCCTTGCTCAATGAAGGGGTTAGAGCCATTTTCCTTTCATCATTATGGTTTGAATGTTTGTCTTATTACTAAAAGGCTTTAGAGGAAACTCTTAACTATCTATTTTTGTGAGTCACACTACGCTTTAAATGATGTTAATTTAAGCCTCACTTATTTGCTGTCAGATATGACGTGCATGTCTATATGTCTATATATGGCATGACATTGGTTCACAGCTGAGGGTGTGATTAGACAGGAAGCGGTAGAGTCTTTTGACCATGTTCTTTTTGTTCTTTTTTGATACGGAGAACTTTTAGTTACTTTGAAGCGAGGAAGTTTGTCTTCATGTTTGTATGTCGCCTTGATCAAATAATAAACCTGATATGATTCAACGCTACAACGATCTCCACAAAGTTAGTTTGGAAGCAAAGAGAGGCGCGTCATAACCCACAACCCCGATAGAGGAAAGTGGATATTAAATGTAGAGACTGATTAAAACACCACGACAGAAGGTATCATCGACACACCGTTCCCCATTGGGAGCGACTTGGGGTTAAGCATCTTGCCCAAGGATACATCGATTTCAATTGAAAGACGCCCTCACTAGCTTTCATTAACAGTCGTAAACAGTGTGTGTTCTCTGCATCCTCACCTGGAAAGTGGAGCAGCAGCATCAGGAATGAAGACATTATGATCCTTCTGAATTCAGACATCGTGCTTCTCTCTCGGTCCCTGGCTCTCGACTGTCAGAGTCTCTCACCTGCTGCTTCTTTATTTCTGTTCTGAGAACTGAAGAAGTGTTTCTGTGAAAATGTGGTTATCAACAGCAGCAGAGCTCTGGAGGTTTTACCCTCTGACGCTGACCAGATAAGATTAGAGCAAAAAGTAGAACCGTGGAGAGTGATGCACATAAAGTAATGAATATGTATATAAAAACTTAAAAATAACCAGCAGGGGGTGGATATGAATATACCTTAATATATAAATGAATATGCAGCGATAACAAAAGGCAGTGTTGTTGATCAGTGGAGTCACTAGTGAAACTGTGTACTTTAAGAACACACCTGATGTTTAGAGAAAGTCATATTAGGAAAAACCATACAAATAAATACATCTGCACTCTTGAAAAACTAATAGATCACTTTATTTAGTAAAATACAAAACAGTCAAATGTACTGAAGAAAAAGCAATACTCCATTGAATTATATTAAAGGGGACCTATCATGCAAAATGCACTTTTGTACGTCTTTTATACATGAATATGTGTCCCCGGTGTTCCAGGGAACTCACCAAGTGTCAGAAAACACAACCCTCTCTATTTTCCTCCATACCCAAATCTCTAAAAAAGGGGCTGCAACGGATCTGATAAAAACTGATCCAGATTTCAACACTGTCCTGACGTCAGGACAGTGGCGCTACGGCTATTGGGCCAACTCTCCACCTATCAGGGGAATGTGGGGTTGGGCCACGGCCGGCCTTTGCCGCTCGAAAGCGCTGGAGACGCTGTAGTACATATGCCAGGCCTGTAAGTGGCGCTGTAGTCTGCCACAAAAGCAGTGAAGAAGACTTCCCGCCCATAGTTACCATGGTTACCCTTCTGTTTATTCTCCGCTGTGGCTTTTTTTCTCCCTCCCCGAGGCAAGCGTTTGCTCCCGCTGCTTTAATTCAATGCAATCCCTCCCCGTCGAGGCAAGCACTGTAATTCTCTCCGGTTAGTCCACCAGCAGATGACAAACACCCACCTCTCCGCCTCTTCCAAGGAACGAGGGGACCGTGCGGCAGAGTTTCAGTTTCAGTTACTTTCGCCGGTCAAGATGTCCGTTAAAGTTTAAATCTTCCGGACAAAATTAGAAAAGTGCCGGTCAAAGGTCTTATTGAGCTTTAAAATAAATGAATAACGACTCTATATAATGAAACACGGAGGACGGAGATCTCTTTTTCTCCCCCTCTTCTGACAGCCCAGCAGCTGATCAGAGCACGTCTCACCTCTCCTGCAGGGGGCCCTGGTCAGCAGAATCAGACCCGTAGACAGCAAACAGCACATAGAGCGAAATGAGGCATGGCTAAAATGCATGATCTGTTTGGTATTTTGAAAACAGAAACGTATAAATATACCTTATATAGGTATGGCCCTACAATATATCATTTAAATATAGCATGATAGGTCCACTTTAAAGAAAAGACTGTAATAAAAAAGCCAGAATCCACTTTACAAAACCTTCATTATGCCCACACTGTAAGTATTAAGAATACAGTAAATCTCCAACATGTCTGCCCCTTTTTCACGATCCACCTCTCGAGGGACTCACATGTTTTGCTGTACTCTCACTTTGATGCAATTAAGCCAAAAAAAGCAAAAACATGGTCAATATAAATCTTATTATAACTCTACTCGCTTTGCCTTTGTAATATGGTTATAACAATTGTGCCATAGTTTAAAATACAGCATTCAACTGTATTATTTTTTTGGTTTGTTGACGGTGGCGTAGAGGAGGCTGGGATCAGCGGAGGCAGCAGAGGAAGAGGAGGGAGCTCTCACAGTGCTGTAGGTCAATGCATCATCTTCATCATCATCATCAACCTGGAGGGAAAAAAAAGGGATTATGCATAAAGGAGTTCTGAAAGTCCTGCTTTTGCTGCCATTAAACAGCTTAAAGAGTCCTCTCCTGCTGATGTTCAGGGGCCTCATTTATAACGCCTTGCGTAGGATTGACGTAGGAAGGTTGCTTACGTAGTACAAAGCACAAAAATAGGTACATACATTTTCCGCCATTTTCCGATTCACAAAACATTGCGTACCGGCGAGGGAAGTGCGTACGGCACTTCCTACGCCTGTTTCCATTTATAAATCACAATCGACTCGTAACGCCCATATTTGCCTATACTACATAGTCAAAGAAACGCCCATTCATTCATTCATTTTGACTGACTGCATGAAGAAGATCGCAGGAAATAACGATAGAACAGCTAAAAAGACATCTCACACCGTGTCAGATTTTGGTTATTGTGGGGAGGTAGAGATAAATCATATTGTTTGGTGGATGCAGTTTGAACCAGAGTAGCAGCATGGAGGTCGGATCGTCACCAAAATAAATAAATAAGTGGTCCGAAAAAAGTTAATGACAAAACGAATACACATAACCTTCCTCAGGCAGTGTGTTTGTCCCGGGGACAGGAGACACCCCCTTGATGAGAAACTGTAAGAAATGATCGGGGAATCCCTCCGGAGTGGAGTCATGACGACTGGATCTGAATTATTTTTGTTGTATTTGGTGGTTTCGTGTTCCAGCTGTCGATCAGCAACTATATATCCATAATCCACCAGTTAAAGGAAATACAACTAATGGATTGTGTTATATTAGCTGTACAATTTACCACATATGGTGTTCTTAGTTTCCATACCTCCTGTGTTTTACGAGCGACTTATCAAGTCTTGGCAAACGGCATAAAACACGATTAAACGTGATAGTATATAAAACCATGCTCGTATCTACAACCTATAGAAATGCAAAACGACGTCAGTTTAGACGTAATTCTGTCCTCCTGCTTACCGCATCATTTATGAGAAAACATTTCATAACATTAACACAACATATTCGAGGTGGTTTTCAATAACATATCCGTATTTATTTATTTCTCCAAGTTATGTTTTTGTGTGCACTGAGGAGTCTCAAACAGGCGTTTGTTTAATCATTTAAAGATTGGCTTTAATCAATGTTTGAAAATGAATTCTTCATATTTGATAAATGAGAGGTAACATTTTATTTATGGTATTATTTCCACATATTTCTCTCCATTCTTCCTTCTGCCAACGGTGTCGCAGTTTCTCGTCTCTCCCGTTTGTGTGCTTAGTGCGTACGCATGGGTTAGAGTTTGCGTGGAGGACCGCACATTTTCCCGCCAAGTTAGTATTTTATAAATCGCAAACATTGCGTAGAAACTGGCGTACGCCATTTTTTGAGCGTATATCCCTTTATAAATGAGGCCCCTGGTGTATATCAGTATGTAGTGTCTCTACTGTGACTAGAGATGTCCCGGCCCTTAGCCAATAGAAGAGTGTTACATAGTGATGTCACTATGTTCAAGAGGTACATTTTGGGGAATTTTAGCCTTTTCAGACCGTTAACATGCACTAAAACCTATATAACACTACAGGAACGGGAAACCCCCCAAAAGCCCCTTTAAAGTGAATCTGCACAAAAAACCTTTTTCTTAAAATATTTAAATATGCATTATTTTATTGTATTAAATATGTTCTCTGGTAACAGATAAGGGGAGAAAATAGCATTGTTTTAAAAAAACTTCATTCTCTTTTCCTACTTACTATGTTTTCATATCAAAGGGGAAATACTGTCCGCCTTATTCACTCTACATATCTGGTAGTTGTGTTAATGTTCCTGAAACTCATCATTTGGTGCTCTGGGGCTTAGTTTATTTGCAGACAAACATGAAATATCACTACATTTTCCCTCGATCTCTTCACTTTTTGTCCTTTTAATATATTTGCTCCTTCCCTCTTTCATTTCTCCATGCTTTCACTACTTCCATTTTCACTTCCCATTCTAACTCTAATCTGAAAACATGACAATCCACCAAAAAACGAGATATTTGCACCACAAAAAAAGCAGGACTATTTTTCACAGTAAGATATTTGAATGCAAATCTATTAATTTGAACATTTGTTTCACTTTTCTTTCCTAAAGTTTCGATTGCATAATTTAATAATGATTTGATATTCTAAATGTGCTTGCTTCTTGGAAAGTATATCGTGCAAAAAATATGCTTTGTTTTACAGTAAAGTAAACTCTCATTGCACAAGCTCCCTCTGCTGCAGCACTTTCAGAAGCACACAGTTCACTAACTCAACCTATACTCACATTATTCACACATGAGAGAGTGTTTGTGTTTGTGTCTGCAGAGATCTGCTTCTCAGTGTGAGAGGACAGTAGAGACCTCCACATGTTGGGAGGATCTCTGCTGCTTCCTACTGGTGAGAAAATAAAAGTGTTTGAAACTAAAGACAGCTGAACAAGAACACCTTTAAAAGAGTTTATTTTCACCTGAGAACGTTTTTTATTTCCAACACAAAACTCCAAACAAAGCAAAACATATTTCACTGAAAAGGTGTTACAAGGAAATACATCTGCAGTCTGGTAAGGCTATTAGGTAACTTCATTTGGTAAAATACAACACAATCAAATATACTAAAGAAAATGCAATATTCCATTAAATGATATAACTAAACAACAGTTAGTAAAACCAGGCAAGAATTAATTAAAAAAAAACGTTTTGCCCATGCTCTAAGTATTAAGAATACAGTAAATCTCCAACATGTCTGAACCTTTTTCACAATCCACCTCTAGAGGGACTCACATGTTTTCATAAAGCTGCTGCTGTACTCTCACTTTGATGCATTTAAGCCAAAAAAAAGCAAAAACAAGGTTAATATAAATCTGATTAAACTCTGCTAGCTGTGCCCTTAAACTCTAAATCTTTGATCCAAGCGATCATGCTATTGATTTAAACATTACATCGGTTTCTTTCTTGGTTTGTTGACGGTGGCGTAGAGGAGGCTGGGATCAGCGGAGGCAGCAGAGGAAGAGGAGGGAGCTCCCACAGTGCTGTAGGTCACTGCATCATCTTCATCATCATCATGAAGGTGAGCCTGCAGGGGAAGAAAAGTGATTATGCATAAAGGAGTTCTGAAAGTCTTGATTGTATAGAAGTCTGTGAGAAAATGACCCTACGTCTCACTTGATTTATATCCTCAATAAACATTTCTCTGCAGATTTTATGTTCTCAATCTCAGTTTCCAAGTCTTCTTTAATACAGCATGATGTTCGGTGAGTTATGATCACATTTAGAGTAGAATAGAGAATAAAGTCACATCACCAGTGAAATCAATGAGACAGCTCACCCTGGCTTTCCTGCTGCTCTTCCTGGTGTAGCTGATGGAGGCGTAGGAAACACCGTCTTCAGGATCAGCCTACACAAATAAAATGTATTATTATAAAAACATATTTTGCCACCTTGAAAAACCAAAAATAGCTGCTAAGTATGAAGCACAGCACAATAAAAGATAGTTCCATTAAATCACTTTTTGTCTGTTTATAACCTTTTGACGTCGCTGTTGTGCAACTTCCTACCTACTTTAAAACAAATGCATAACTGTTTGTTGCTATTTTTATGAACTTTGAGTTTAACTACATGAATAGTAAATAACAAAAACCTTAAACCCTGCTACATTTATGAAATCATTATTTTAAAAATATTTAATTGTTCAGTTTTAAAACATTTAATTTATATATGTTTTATCTCACCACGTTGTCATCCGTCTGTGTTTCATTTCCTTCAAAAGAATAACAAATAAATGAGACTTGGGTTAAAATCCAAGTTCATCAAAAGCTTCTTGTTTGTAAAGTATAATGTGTGAATGTCCTCACCTTGAGTCCTCTTCCGTCTGATGACAGCCACAGTGATTATTGTGAGTGCTGCAACACCCACGATCACAACGATGATCCACCACCACCGACCTGGAAGAGAGAAGTTAGAAGAGTTACATATACTCAGAGGTTTTCATCTCCTTGTCTTTAAACTCTGGATCAACAACATGTATTTTCTAAAGTTAAATGTTTCAGTTCAGTCTCTCCCTTTATTGTTGTCCTCTTGTTCTGTATGATTGTTTTCAGATGCAGTGTTGGTCGTCTCTCCGGCTGCTCTCATTCTCACTGTTGTCCATGTTGTTGACACTGCAGTCCCCTTCCCTGCATCCTCACCTTAATGAATAAAATAACAACATGTTGGACAGTTATAAAAACATGATAAAGATGTGACGCATCAGGATGAATGATTTTAAACAGCTCATCATGTTCTCACCTGAGGACTGAAGAGAAACAGCTGAGGTTCTGTCCTGTAACCATCAAACACTTTGCAAGTAAATAAAGTTAACCGTACCTGAGTTCAAGTTGTTTTTAGCTGTTGTTGTTGATGTTGTTTTTGTTGATGCTGGTTTTTTGTCCTCACCTAAACAGATTAACAAAACTTAACAAACTATTCAATTTTAAACGTCCATAAAATAAACAGATATTGAAGTATTTTTATTTACACCAGTAAGAAATGACTTTAAACAGATCATCATGTTCTCACCTGAGGACTGAGGACTGAAGAGAAACAGATGTTCTTCTCCTGTGAATGTATCAGTTACTTCACAAGTAAACAACTCAGACCCTGATGTGTAACTAAAAAGAGAAGTCAGAAATGTCACAGAGGCAGAGCAGAGAGACTGTGATGTCTTTTTCTCTCTGTGATCTTTATCCACGTCTTGACCCTGAAGCAGCCACTTCACTGAGTGATCACACCGTCCATATCTCTTCACAGAGCAGTCTAACATCACCTCATCATTGTCCTGATGTTCAGTCACTGAAGATGGAGATATTGTGAGAGAAAAGATAACCACAATATGTAACAACATTTAAATGTACTTCATCACTGTAATCATCATCATTATTGGAATGTTTCAGTTTAGAGACAGTTTGAAAACATTATGATGTAAATACTCACTGGTAACAACAGACAGATAAAACACAGAGGCTGGACCTTGTTGTTGTCCTGAGTTGTTGAACTGTCTGCAGGTGTAACTACCAACATCCTCCTCTGTGACCTTCTTTATAACCAGAGAACATTTCTCTGTAATTCTCAGTCTGTCTGATTTAGCTTTGGAATCGTTCTGAATCTGCCCGTCTTCAAACAGCGTCACTGCTGCTGAACCTCTTGAATCACTGAAGAGCCAGGTAGTACTCTCACACTTATCCTGATCATCTATCACATTGTCAAAAGGCAAAGTGACTTCATCTCCAGCTCTGACAATGCAGGAGTAACGTTTCCCATCTGCAGCTGTTGGGGGAAAAAAGCAGAAAGAAATATAGATGTCATAAATGCTGACAGAATAATGATGTATTATATTAGAGAGGGACAGAGAGGGACAGAGAGAGACAGAGAGGGACAGAGAGAGACAGAGAGAGACAGAGAGAGACAGAGAGAGACAGAGAGAGACAGAGAGAGACAGAGAGGGACAGAGAGGGACAGAGAGAGACAGAGAGAGACAGAGAGAGACAGAGAGAGACAGAGAGAGACAGAGAGGGACAGAGAGAGACAGAGAGGGACAGAGAGAGACAGAGAGGGACAGAGAGAGACAGAGAGAGACAGAGAAAGACAGAGAGAGACAGAGAGGGACAGAGAGAGACAGAGAGAGACAGAGAGACAGAGAGAGACAGAGAGGGACAGAGAGAGACAGAGAGAGACAGAGAGAGACAGAGAGGGACAGAGAGAGACAGAGAGAGACAGAGAGACAAAGAGAGACAGAGAGAGAGACAGAGAGAGACAGAGAGAGACAGAGAGAGACAGAGAGGGACAGACGTGCTTGTCTATTTGTCTATATATACGGCATGACATTAGGACACAGCTGAGGGTGTGATTAAACAGGATGCGGTAGAGTCTTTTGACCGTGTTCTTTTAGTTACTTTGAAGCGAGGAAGTTTGTCTTCATGTTTGTATGTCGCCTTGATCAATGAATAAACCTGATGTGATTCAACGCTACAACGATCTCCACAAAGTTAGTTTGGAAGCAAAGAGAGGCGCGTCATAACCCACAACCCCGATAGAGGAAAGTGGATATTAAATGTAGAAACGGATTAAAACTTCATGACAGAAGGTATCATTCACACACCGTTCCCCAGGGTTGCCAACTTTGGGTACCTGGCTGGAGTGAGATTTTGATATCATGGGTTTAATTCGGCTTAATTACACATATGCGCACGAAATGACTGCTATCGTGTCAGCAGCGAGACCTTAGCATATATATAGGATATATATACAATATATACAAATACACAATAATGGACACAGACTATAAAGGGCACACAGTTTCATTCACTAATGAAAGTCAAACATGTTTGTTTCCACTGTTTTATTGTGTGCCTGTCGCGATAAGCAATTAATTGACTTATCGTACGATAAATAAAAATGAACTCGATAATTTTTATGACCTCGATAAATTGCCATTTACATGAGGATGTGACTAGCAGTTTGAAAGGATGTACTTGAATTATTATTATATATTATCATTATGTCAGTGGTCTAAAATGGTCATACAACGGTGCCGACAATATTATCGTTTATCGCAATAATTTCCGGGAAAATGTATCCAACAAAATTAATTATCGTGAGAGGCCTATACATGAAACACACACACACACAAACAAATCTACAGACTTACTCCAAACTGCCAAATATTAATTAACACACTCTCACTCTCATATACTCTTTGACTCTATTTTGGCCTAGTAGAACAATAAGCAGCAGACTTTTACTTTGTTATAATTTCTACTGGATCTTAGATCTGCGCATGCGCAATACAGGTCGGCAGTTGCGGCTCCAGAGTATTTTTGTTGGGTAATCTATGGTAGGGCTAACCCATACAGTGGTGGGGCTCAAATCAGTATTTGCAATGTAATTACATACACGCTCCCCCCGACAGTGAAACGCCACGCGTGAGGTTTAGATTATTTCCCTGTCTCAATCCAAATTGAACTGTATGAAATAAAAAGGCACATTTGTCTTGTAGTAAATAAAAAGGGCGACCTGGAGTCAATCCTGCAATTTCCCCACAGGTTGACATGCTGAAAACCCAACCCCTGCAGGGGGGTCTGGGGCAGTGGCGTTTTCTCCCGGAGGCCAAGGGAAGCCAGGCTTCCCCTGTTTTTTCGGATTGTAGTTATAATTTAAATAAATAAATAAAAACACTTTGTTTTGTTTCGATAATTCTCCTTTGCTGTGTGTTGCTGCCGGCCCGTCTCTCCCCCACTCTCATTGAGTATTTTACAAAGAGTGAAACAAACAGCGCCCCTCTAGATCTTATGGTGAAACAGTAGATTGCATTCACTGTTGCGAGAGGAGGCCAACTGAATCGGGCTTCCCTTGGTGAAAAGAATTGAGGGATTGACCAATCAGATGAGGCCCACGTGATGCCCCTGCCAACCTGTGATTGGTCAGGGCCATGCCAAGGGAAGCCAGCTTTCTCTGGCTTCCCTTCAGAAGCGGCTGGCGATTTCACCTGAATAGATGAGATTTGTTTATATTTTTTAGTTACTTTTGGACTACGGACTGAGCTAATTACAGAGACGAGGACTGTTGCTGCACTTGCCGTGTGTTAGAAAGGGAAGGGAAGAGAAGGTGGACTATCGCATGCAAATGTTTCTGTACATAATTGTTTTTGAATTCATGTGTTTCATACACGCCTACTGATACTTTGATGTGTACATAACACTTTAAAGGTCTCCTGATTTACTTTGTGAATGAATGCTTCTTTTTTATTCATTACCGAATCTGCACTGCGCATTGAGCGGCTGGTATTGCATTTGGGGGGGGGGGGGGGGGTGTGTGTCTGCATAAATTAATAAGAAAATGCTTAAATTAATAAACGAGAGTTTCGGCTGGAGAGTGCGTGCGGACCTGTCGGTTAGATAACAGGCGTGTGCAAGTCCTGCATCTGTGTGATACAAATGTGTGTAAAATGATACCGGGCGCTGTAATCACTCATCTGGTTACGTTATTGACCACCCCCCCCCCCCCCCCCAACCAACCCAAAAAAATGGGCTTCCCCTACATTTTTCCCCACGCCACGCTACTGGTCTGGGGGGATTCTTCCCCAGGAGATTTTTTGAAATACTAACATAAAATACACATTCTGGTACTCTCTTGAGAAGAAAAATAAATAAATCTATTACTACACATTTAAAAAAATAAATGCCATTTTTGTTTTGTGTTACTTTGTTCTGAAAGCTGAACCTGCTGCTCCTCACAGAGAGAAGAGGCTGTGTGAATTACTTTACATTGTGGATAAGGGTGGATAGCCCCCATTGTTCTGTGTGTCAAAATGAAAGACAGCCCACACACCTATCAATCATCAAACCGTGGGGTCTTATTTACGTGTTGATTTCTATCAACACGTAATGTTGTATCGATGTATAGAGATGTACTACCGCAAAAGTATTCTTCGTCGGGACTTCCTGCAACAACACCACGCCGTTATCGTGATTCTGATTGGCCAGAAGACATTATCAAAGATGTTCTATTGAGAAGACGATCACTACGTGACAAAAGTTTTCAAAACCGTTTCTCGTCTTCGGTATTCTTGTTTTTGGCGTGAGAATAGTTTGGGCAGCGTGAGAGCGTGAGATTGAGAGTGAAAGCGTGTGTCACACGCCAGATGCGTGAGAGTTGGCAACCCTGCCGTTCCCCATTGGGAGCGACTTGGGGTTTAGCATCTTGCCCAAGGATACATCGATTTCAATTGAAAGACGCCCTCACTAGCTTTCATTAACAGTCGTAAACAGTGTGTGTTCTCTGCATCCTCACCTGTAAAGTGGAGCAGCAGCATCAGGAATGAAGACATTATGATCCTTCTGAATTCAGACATCGTGCTTCTCTCTCGGTCTCTGGCTCTCGACTGTCAGAGTCTCTCACCGGCTGCTTCTTTAACAAGAACTCAGTACCGAGGATAACAGCAGATAAGCGACAGAAGAGGGGAAGTTGAACGTGGGAAGATGTTTTCTGGTTCCTCATTTCACCTCCAGTGTATTTCTTGAGAACTGAAGAAGTGTTTTGATGAAAATGAGGTTAACACCAGCAGCTCTGAAGGTACGACACCATATAGAAAACCTCAGGCACGTATTCAGTTGGGCAACAGAGGAATAATTCAGGCCGATATGAGACGGATCAGTTTGAGCTAATATCCAGTCACTGTGGATGACTGAGCCAAACTTACATTGAGACACAATCTGGATGTTTATTTTAAGATTACAGCATTTCCAGGCCCTGTGTGTCTCAACACCAAGTGCAGTATGTGGAAACGATTTGCCACTGTTTCCATCTTTGATGAATCTGTTTATCTTATTGAAAAATACAGCATGCACTTGTCACCCTAGAGCTGCGGTGTCAAACTAAAGGCCCGGGGGCCAAATCCGGCCCGCGACAATATTTGATGTGTCCCCGCAAGAGCTTGCAAATAATATAATATGTTTATTATACGGTTGAATGCCGCTTTACAGAAGCCATACCGTGGACCAGATTATTCATCTGGCCCACGCAGCGGTCCGAGTAATCACTCCCGTCCTCAGGCAGGGGGGCGGGAGTGTCCTGCTGAGGGGTAATCAGCGACACTCCCAACACACCTAGATTACTGGCCGCCGCCGCCGCCATCTGCGCCCCGAGCCTGAATATCTTACTCAAGCATCTCGCGGTCACCCAACAGCGGGGGCAGAGGCCTTCTCCCCTCTGCCCACCCGGCTGCCTGCGGAAGCAGATGGGCCGCTAGGCTATCATCCAGTGGGGGCACACTGGGACACTCCGTGTCCGAGTGGCCCTGCACTCTGAGGATTCCAGCCCATGTCGCCAGCGGAGCCTTCGTTCTCAGTGGCTGTCGCCACGTGGCCTCCACACCGCCAGATGTCTGGCAGGGGGGTGAAACGAAGGCCGGCTGTGCTGGACAGGCCGGGCCGTAGAAGCCCTGATGTAGGCGGCTCACCGGCCTCGGTGGCAGCGGTGGGGGGAGCGGCAAGCCTGCAGGCTCCGCCGCCATAGTCATCACTGCCGGGAATTCCTGTCGCGCAGACCTGTGCTGTTGGCCTTCCTGGCGGTCGCCGGAAACAACAGACGATGAGGTGTCGCCATCGTCGTCCCTCTCCCCGACGAGCGGACCCGCCCGGTCCGCTGGAATGGTGAACACGAAGGGCAGTCCTTCCTTGAGGTCCTCCATCTCCACCATGTCGAGCTCTGGGTCCTCCACCGGCGAGACGTAGCAACCAGTGTTAATTTTGGCAGCTGTTTTTGATTTAGTCTTAGTCTTAAGGCCCTGACACACCAGGCAGTCACCAGAGAACTCGCCGACATCCGACACCGACAGATCCATCGATGAGTTCTCCTGCGTATTGGCCGTGTGTCGCACTGAAATACACCGCTTTACTACAGCCGAGCACGTACGAACTGCGCATGCGTGAGTGGCAATAACTCTCCTTACCAGCAGGCGGCGGTAGTGTGTATTCGTCATTCAAAATAGGCAACAACCGGAAGACAGAGAAGAAGAACAGACTGATATACAAACAAATAGCGTGTGCCGTTCCATTTTCACTCGTCCATCGAAAACATGTTTTAGAATATAAAAATACATGCATGATGAAATGAGCACATAAAGTGCAGACATACTATAAAAGCACAGTTAATAGACCTGCATCTGATGATCGCAGTGTTCTGGCGGGTGTGTAGTTTATTGAGTCAGCAATGTAATAATGGCCACTTCTTGCTAAATTTACGATGAGATGAAAAACCGGACTTGACCAAACAAATCACGGAGCTCTCAGCAGAGGACAGCCGGGGACGCTCCCGCCGATATCAGAGATGTCCCTGCTATGTGTGGGAGGTAAGAGAGGACATTTAAGGGCTATGTTTGATGTCTTTAAGTATCACCTGCTGGTGTTTAGCTGCTGTCCTGTGCTTTAAATCGTTTGTTTACGTCCCTCACTTCCGTTTCGCTTCTCATTTGCTAGCTGAACAGCTGATCAGAGTGGTTTCTTGGCCCGATAGCTTGTGTCCAACACCCGGCTGATTCAACATGTTGAATCGGCCGGGTGTCGATCGTGAAAGGCCAAATAAGGCGTGTCACGGCCGAGGGTTCGGGACACACCAAATTGACTTTGGGCGACAAGGAACCCGTTTTCGCCCAACAACGCAAGACGGCCGATATCGGCCTGGTGTGTAGGGGCCTTTAGTCTTTAGACGAAAATGGTTATTCGTTTTAGTCACATTTTAGTCATTTATATCCTTCATAGTTTTAGTCTAGTTTTAGTCGACGAAAACTCAAAACGTTTTAGTCTAGTTTTAGTCGACGAAAACTCAAAACGTTGTAGTCGATGAAAAATTACATTTTAGTCAACTTTTAGTCAAAATGTTTTCTCTCTTTAAACCAATTCAGTTAGGCAAATACAGGTATCTGACATTGTAATCAAGGTGACAGCATCAAGTGTTGAAATTCGTAAAGCAACATTTCACTCTCTTAACACTTTACTTGTGTAATATCTAGGGATGGGTATCGTTAAGGTTTTCTATGGTACTACTAGTCTTATCAATACTGCTTATCGATCCGGTACTTTAACGGTATTCTTGTATTTACTTTTTGTTATTTTTTAAAGGAAAAAACGAACAAATTGTTAACCGAATTAATTGCTTTATTTAAATGTGAAATAAATGAAATATATATAATTATGTTAAAATATTGTACTGTACTTGAGTAAAATGTTGAGGTACTTGTACTTTACTGGAGTATTTAAATGTTTTGCTACTGTGTAGCCTACTTCTACTCCACTACAGTTCATAGTTAAATGGTGTACTTCTACTCCACTACATGTATTAAATACCTTTAGTTACTTTACAGATGTGGATGAATGATGTGAAATATAATCAAGTGTTAACTCAGACTTTAGTAAGTTCACAAGCTACCCTGCAGTATACAAAGTCCTTCAAACTAGCTGCACCTTTACCAGCTTTGAGAACACTTTAATGATCAATCATTATAAAACATATCATATATATTATTCTGAAATGGACCAATCTGCACAATGACTACTTTTACTGTCGCTATTTTAAATATATTTTGATGATCATACTTTGACTTGAGGAACTCTTCCTACACTATGGTATTTTTTTACTTAGCTACAAGATCTGAGTACTTCTCCCACCTCTGCACACCTGATGTAAGTAAGTAAGTAAGTAAAACTTTATTTATATAGCACCCTTCTCAACACGAATGTACAAAGTGCTTTACAGTACAGTACACAATTCACAGTACAACTAAAATGTAGAATAAAAGGCATAAAAAGGCATAAAACGACAGCAGGTAATACATAGGATAAAACATACGATAAAACACCAATAAAAGACAGCTACTAACTCACCTCCTCCGACGCCCCAAAGGCCTGTCGGAAGAGGTGGGTCTTTAACTGCCCCTTAAAAATCTCTACTGAGGCAGAGGCTCTTAGTTAGTGATGGGAATTCCGGCTCTTCTTGGTGAGCCGGATCATTTGGCTCGGCTCACCAAGAAGAGCCGGCTCTTTCGGCTCCCAAACGGCTCTTCAGTTTACTACATATTATACCTTTTATAATTCAATCAAATGTAGCCCTGTTTTGACTCATGATTTATATGTGTACACATATCACTTAAATTATTCAATACATCCTTTGTACTGAAGTATTCAAAAGTAAAAATTACATGTTTAATATCAATTATTTGCTGTGGCCAGTTTTCATTGCATTTACAGACCCTTGTATCTCTCTGATACCACCCAATGAATGCACTGACTTGCTTGAACCACGCTACACAAAGCAGATAGCAACACGTATAAAAAACCCGAGGTGACAGGGCTTTCAGTGTTGCAGCTCCTGCCAGGGGTGGGCATTTTACGGCCCGCGGGCCACATCCGGCCCGTTGGCCGGCCTTGGCCGGCCCGTGTGAGGTTGATCATAAATTATAACATAATTAAAAAAAACAGCAACCTTTTCAAAATAAAAGCAACACAGCTGTATTGCTTGCATGGCGTAAATACTTTTCTAACTGTGTTGCTTTTATTTTGAAAAGGAAGCTGCTGTTTTTTTAATTTATTTACGTAAACGCGCATGCCGTAACAGCTACGAGTGATGCTGGCCGGCTAGTCCTCGAAATGTCCGCTAAGGGCAAAAAAAGAAAGATCGATACTGAATGCCGCGTTTTCAACAAGACATGGACCGCTAAGTATTTATTTACAGAAGTGAAAGGTAAAGCTGTGTGTTTAGTTTGTGGTGCGCAGGTCGCTGTGTTCAAGGAGTACAATTTGAGTCGCCACTATGCTACCAAACACGCAGATAAATACAAGAACCTGTCTGAGGAAGAGCGGGCAAAGGGGTCGGATGCTTTGCTAGCTAAGCTGCAAAGCCAACAACACATTTTCACAAAACATTCCACATCCAGAGATGCAGCTGTCAAGACGAGTTATGTCTTAAAAGTAAACCGTTTTCGGACGGAGAGTTCATAAAGGAGTGTTTGTTGGACACTAATATGCCCGGAGAAAAAGGAGGCATTTGAGAAAGTGCCGCTCTCCCGACGCACTGTTACGAGGAGAATTGAGGACATCGCGGGAAATCTGGAGCTTCAGCTGCAGAACAGAGCGGTCAACTTTGACTTTTTTTCCTTGGCTTTGGATGAGAGCTGCGATGTACGTGACACTGCCCAGCTACTCATCTTCCTACGTGGGATAACTACAGACTTCAAAATCACAGAGGAGCTGGCAGCCATGCAGTCAATGAAAGGTACAACAACAGGGAGTGATTTGTTCACGGAGGTAAATGCATGTGTGGAAAAGTTGGGACTGAAATGGGACAAGCTGGCAGGCGTGACAACGGATGGTTGTCCAAATCTGACAGGGAAAAATGTTGGACTATTGAAGAGAATGC